GATCTCGGCTCACCGCAACCTCCGCCTCCTGGGTTCAGGCAATTCTCCTGCCTCAGCCTCCTGAGTAGCTGGGATTACAGGCACGCGCCACCATGCCCAGCTAATTTTTTGTGTTTTTAGTAGAGACGGGGTTTCACCGTGCTGACCAGGATGGTCTCGATCTCTTGACCTCGTGATCCACCCGCCTCGGCCTCCCAAAGTGCTGGGATTACAGGCTTGAGCCACCGCGCCCGGCTGAATAATTTATTTTTAAAGACAAGGAAAATTAGATTGAACATATAAACTAGGCCAAGGCGGGCAGATCACCTGAGGTCTAGAGTTGGAGACCAGCCTGACCAACATAAAGAAACACCATCTCTACTAAAAATACAAAATTAGCCAGGCATAATGGTGCATGCCTGTAATCCCAGCTACTCGGGAGACTTGAACCTGGGAGGCGGAGGTTGCAGTGAGCTGAGACCACACCATTGTACTCCAGCCTGGGCAACAAGAGCAAAACTTCATCTCAAAAAAACAAAAAATAAAACCAACACTATAATCATAGCTTGTTTAAACCACAAGGGATCTTAGGTGCCACCCAGCTTAACATTTGGCTGAAACCACACAGCAAGTCCTTGGGTCCTTTCAAGCCAAGGGCTCTTTGTGGCACAATACCAAATGAACAAAGCCATGGCTGTTTGCTGAGAACGTGCCATGGGTTTCTGACATGTCTTAGTATCATCACTGTGACCATCAACTTCTGTAAGAACAGTGATAAAATAAGGAAAGGTTATTTAAGAGTTCTGGTTTTAAAACGCTGGAAGTTAGATTTTTGCCGCTCATTGCTTACAATTTTAAATGCAAAGATTCAAAACCAAATCTCTACATTTGTATAGTAATTTTTTAGTTTGCAGGCCAAACGAGGTTACTATGGATCTCTGACGTACAAATACCTAATTTGCTGTCCTGCTCATTATCACCAGGATCCTTTAAAGATTATTCATGGAATGGAACCACTATGAAAATGCTTCAAATTTTTTAGACAATCTCCAGATTCAATAATGGAGGAGGGGCCAGGCGTGGTGGCTGACACCTGCAATCCCAGCACTATGGGAGACTGAGACAGGCAGATCACCTGAGGTTGGGAGTTCCAGACCAGCCTGACCAACATGGAGAAACCTGTCTCTACTAAAGATACAAAAAAATTAGCTGGGCACAGTGGTGCACGCCTGTAATCCCAGCTACTCAAGAGGCTGAGGCAGGAGAATCGCTTGAACTCAGGAGGTGGAGGTTGCAGTGAGCTGCGAACACACCACTGCAGTGCAGCCTGAGCAACAGAAGCAAAACTCCACTTCAAAAAAAGAAAAAAAAAAGAAGAAGGAAATAAACAATAAATATCAAGGACTACTGGATAAAACCATGTCATGGAAAATACTGTTTTACACACTAGTATAAATTAATCTACCCAGATTTTTTTTTTCCTCTGAAAATTAGATTTTGAAGAAGCAGGGCATTCTATACATGGTATACTTTTTGAGAGCCCTGAAATGAAACTAGGATTATGATTGGAGAGTATGATCAGGTCCTTTACAGTAACATGAGGACTCCAGAGCCCAGTAAGAGGTAAATGGAAAGGAAGGCAAGGAAATCCACCCATTTTATTTTGCCGAGGGCTAGATGAGGACCTGGAAATAACTGGTATAAAAACAAAGTGAGTGGGTGGGGGGGGTGGTTAGGCGCCTTGGCTCATGCCTATAATACTAGAACTTTGGGAGGCTGAGGCAGGTGGATCACTTAAGGTCAGGAGTTCAAGACTAGCCTGGCCAACATGGTGAAACCCATTCTCTACCAAAAATACAAAAATTAGCCTGGCATGGTGGCACACACCTGTAATCCCAGCTACTTGGGAGGCTGAGGCAAAAGAATTGCTTGAATCCAGGAGGCAGAGGTTGCAGTGAGCTGAGATCATACCACTGCACTCCAGCATGGGCGATAGAAAAAACAACACACAAAAGGTAAGAAATGTTTCCAATGGTCCCAAATTCACAAAACTCAGAACCATCAGAACTTTAGTTTAGCTACTTATGGATTATATGAGCTTCTTTTGACTGGTGTAGAAAACCATCCACCACAGTGTTTCAATAGAGAAATGAGCTGAGAGTTCCAATCAACCCATTTATTTACAAATTTAAGACTGTTTATAAGATGGGAGAATCCTCTCAACCTTTTAAACAGCAAGAAAGTTCTGCCAACTATTTTATTTTTACAGGGAACCAGATTTTGATCTTTAAAGAATTATTTAATTTCCAAGTAATAAAAGGGAACTGCTGCTTTCTTTTTTTTTTTTTTTTTCAGACGGAGTCTCACTCTGTCGCCCAGTCTGGAGTACAGTCGTGTAATATTGGCTCACTGCAACATCTGCCTCCCAAGTTCAAGTGATTCTTCTGCCTCAGCCTCCCAAGTAGCTGGGATTACAGGCATCTGCCACAAAGCCGGCTAATTTTTGTATTTTTAGTACAGCTGGGGTTTCACCATTTTGGCCAGGCTGGTCTTGAACTCCTGACCTCAAGTGATCTGCCTGCCTTGGCCTCCCCAAGTGCTGGGATTACAGGAGTGAGCCATCATATCCAGCTGAATTCCGCTTCATTTTAATCTATTCATACTCCTTTTTCAAATAAGTAACAGTGTGAAGACTTACCTTTCTCCTTACCCAAAGGCCACAATGAAGTCGAAGAAACCTGTAGATGACAGCTTTCACAGTCTTTCTCTTGCCTTTTTGTGTACTGAAGTATGTTAGAGATCTGGCTGGCAGCTTCAGGACACTTGGAAGCAAGGGGGCCACTCTAAAATATATTTTAAAATTTTTAGCTTGTAATCAGACTGATTAAAGGATTAAAATTCATATCTATAATAAGAAATTAGTGAAGCTGCTCCAAAGGAATGGAGCTAACTTTTCATATACAATGTTACTTCCAATGATCCATGAGACTAAACATGAATAAGAATAGCAACAATCACCAACTCACAAGTCTTCTAAAACCCACCCCCTCAGTCCCTGTAAAAGAATTCACTCTATTATCATACTTTGATTTCTTACCCATCTTCCCACCAGATTGCAGACTCCTTAAGGACTTCAACTTGCTTATCCTTGTGTCCTTTTTGCCAAGTACAGTGCTAGGCACCGGGGTGTTTAACTGAATGTTTGCTGACTGAATGACCAACACACGCAACCCAGCCTTATAAGCTAAGCATCTTGTTCACCCTCCACTTTGGATGACAGCTTCCATGCAGGAAAGCATACATACAACATCAGAAGCATGCTGTGTTTGGCACTTTCCTGCCATAGGCACCTAGATACATGGATGTCAGTTAGAGTCTCCCACTCAATCAAGCAAAAGTCAGTCTGCACAACTAACTGCAGGTGGGCAAAGAATACCACCTACTTCTAGGATACCTTTGCAGGCATAAATATCTTGGAAAGTTTGTCTAAGCATCACATTTACTGAAATATATCCTACCGGCTGGGCATGGTGGCTCGTGCCTGTAATCCCAGAGCTCTGGGAGGCCGAGGCAGGCAGATCATGAGGTCAGGAGTTTGAGACCAGCCTGGCCAATATGGTGAAACCCCATCTCTACTAAAAATACAAAAATTAGTCGGGTGTGGTGGCACTCGCCTACAGTCCCAGCTACTCAGGAGGCTGAGGCAGAAGAATCGCTTGAACCCAGGAGGTAGAGGTTGCAGTGAGCCGAGATCATGCCACTGCACTCCGGCCTGGGTGACAGAGTGAGACTCTGTCTCAAAAAAAAAAAAAAAAAAGAAAGAAAGAAAGATACTCTACCTATTAAGGGTCACGGAAGTATGCCCACATGTCAGGTTTCTCTCAGATGTGATAAGTCTGGAAGTGGAGGAAACAACTGGTGTCTGAATATGACCAAAACGTCCAGTGGACAATGAAGAAATAAAAGAGGCATTCTTGACACAGTTTCGGTAGGTTGAAGATGCCAAAATATTTAGGGGCCGTAGGATTCCTGTGAAGACAGAAGCATATATACTTAATATAATACTCCAAAATATGCATCCAGATATTAAAAATTAGGAGATGTATCAATGCCACCAAGTATTACACAAAATTAACATGCCCTGAGCATCAGATTCACCTGGAAGCTTTTAGCACCTAAGGTATAACCATAAAATAATTACCCATTTTATATATACAATTCAACAATTTTTAGAAAATTTAGAGAGCTGTGCAACCATCATCACAATCCAGTCAGATGTTTGCTAGCTCTATGTCCAGTACTAGGAAAAACGATGTGTGTAATCTATGTTCCCACCTCTCAGATCTTATATTCTGGTGAGACAGAACTCTCACACACAGTACAATGGCAGGTCAGGGATACAAGAGCTTGGACCCTTCCTGAAGAGACAAGAGTGGCAAGAGAAAGAATCTTGAAGAAAAGAGAAGAGGCACTTGGGTTCTCCTCTAGAAAGTGAACAGGCCCTTAGAAGAGGAGCAACACATTTCAGGCAGGATGAACAACATAAGCAAAAGCACAGGGACTGAAACAAATACAGGTGACCCTTGAAAAACATGGGTTTGAACTGCACAGGGCCACTTACACACAGATTTTTTTCAAAAAAATTTACATCAAGTGCGCCTGCCTGTCCAGCCTCTCCTTCTACCTCCTCCACCTCTTCTTTCTCTGCAATCCCAGACACAGCAAAACCAACTCCTCCTCAGCCTACTTAATGTAAAGATGATGAAGACCTTTATGATGATCCACTTCCAATTAATGAACAGTAATCAATTTCTCTTCCTTATGACCTTCTTTTCTCTAGCTAGCTTTATTGTCAGAGTATATAATACACATAACATGCAAAATATATATTTTTAAAATTCTTTTTTTGAAGCAGGGTCTCGCTTTGTTGCCCAGGCTAGAGTGCAGTGGTATGATCATAGCTCACTGCAGCCTTGACCTCCTGGGCTCAATCAATCCTCCTATCTTAGCCTCCCGAGTAGCTGGGACTACAGAACATAACACCATGCATGGTTAATTTTACTAAAGACAGAATTTTGCCATGTTGCTCAGCCCGATTTTGAACTCCCGGGCTCAAGCGATCCACCTGCCTTGCCCTCCCAAAGTGCTGAGATTAAAGGTGTGAGCCACTATGCTTGGCCTGAGAATATATGTAATTCAATGGTTTTTATTATTGTTAAGGCTTCTGGCCAACAGTAGGCTATTAGTAATTAAGTTTTGGAGGAGCCAAAAGTTATACTTGGATTTCAACTGCGTGGGAGTTGACACCCCACCTGCTGTGTTGTTCCCAGGGTCAACTGTACATGTACAGGTTGAGGACCAGACCTGCCTGAGGATGAGACTGCTCGCCTGACTATCAGAGATGCCTGGGGAAGAGTGGGCAGTGAGATGGACCAGGTCAGAAGGCAGATTTCAGAGAGCTAGATGTGTGGTCTGGATGCAGTCCTCTTACCAGTCCTTCCCACTATGGCCAGACTAATAGTTCATGGCTGCAAATTAGAATCACTCATGGAGCTCTGACTCCACCCGTAAACTCTGACTAAAGTCTAGTATGAGACTCAAAATTGTGCGTGCTATAGAAGTTCCACAGGATGAGAATGTCCTGAGAACTTAATGTATTTAAAAAAACACACTGATACAAAACCAAAAAAGAAAATGTGGTGATGGTTCTACCACTTGTTAAATTAATAAAAAATCCTAAAACTGTACACATAAAATGGGTAATTTTATGGCATGTAAATTCTACCTCAATAAAGCTGTTAATGGTCCATCTGAGTCTGACACTCAGCTGGGACTTAGAACTATTCTCGTATTTTCCACTGCAATGATTTCATGTAACAGATGAGGGGCCATGTGGTGTAGCAGTGCTAGGGTTTGAATCAGATGGTTTTGGCTCACAGACTTCCTTGCTGTGTAACTATGGGCAAGTTACTTAACCTCTCTGTGCCCCAGTTTCCTCAAATTTAAATAAAGTTAATTATGAAGAGGTAATGAGACTTGAATGAAATGAAGCATGTAAAGTGCTTGGAAAATATTTAGCACAGAGAAAACATATAATGAATACTAATGGCAGATAATAAAGAAGAGGAATACTTAGCAAAGATGATACAGGTTGAATATTATCTGAAATGCTTGTGACCAGAAGTATTCTGGATTTTTTTCAATTTTGCATAAAGGAGATATCTTACATGAAATTCGTTTGTTTCATATACATCTTATACACATAGGCTGAAGTTAATTTTATACAATATTTTAAATAATTTTTTTCCTTTTTATTATTTATTTTTATTTTTATTTTTAAGAGTTGGGGTCTTGCTATGTTGCCCAGGCCAGAGTGCAGTGGCTATTCACAGTTGCAATCCCACTACTGATCAGCACGGGAGTTTTGACCTGCTCCGTTTCCAACCTGGGCCGGTTCACCCCTCCTTAGACAACCTGGTGGTCCCCTGCTCCCGGGAGGTCACCATATTGATGCCAAACTTAGTGCAAACACCCGATTGGCATGGCGCACTGCAGCCCAGAACTCCTGGGCTCAAGCGATCCTCGCACCTTAGCCTCTTGAGTAGCTGGGACTACAGGCACGCGCCACCGCGCTAGGCTAAATAATTTTTGTACATGAAACAAAGTTTGGGCTGCTACCCATCACATGAGGTCAGGTAAAGAATTTTCCACTTGTGGTGTCACGCTGGTACTCAAAAAGTTTCAGATGAGAGATGCCTAACCTGTATACTAACAGGTGGCCGGCTGATGAAGAACATCTTAAAACTCTATTTTACTTTTCTCCATCAGCGATAGCAGGGCGGGGTGAGGTGGCTCACACCTGTAATCCCAACACTTACGGAGGCCAACGCAGTTGGATCGCCTGAGTTCAGGAATTCGGGACCAGCTTGGCCAACATGGTGAAACCCCATCTCTACTAAAAATACAAAAATATTAGCTGGGCAGAGTGGCACGTGCCCATAGTCCCAGCTACTCAGAGGCTGAGGTAGGAGAATCACTTGAACCCAGGAGGTGGAGGTTGCAGTGAACTGAGATCATGCCACTGCACTCCAGCCTGGGTGACAGAATGAGATTCTGTCTCCCCCCATCCCAAAAAATGAGATAATAATTTGCAACTGAAAATAGTATAAACAGTGGAGCAGAAAACTGATGACAGCCCTTACATAGAGTCTCTGGAAATCAAATTCTCTGCCCACTGAAGGAATTAAAGTCTCCGGGTATAAATAAGTTAAACCTCAAAGAACTGAAAAGATGTGCAGATGTAATAAGGTAGGAGGTTATCTTTGAAAGAAGAAGTGCATTGGAGGACTGTAAACAAGAAAATGTTCCAATTTTCTGGTTTGGCACCAAGGGTATAAAGAAAAAAAAAGAAAAGAAAATGTTCCAATTTTCATAGGTCATCGGATTTTGGTATGACTCAGTTAAAAATATTTTAAAAACTCAAATTCTTTTGTTCTCAATTTTATGAAGATCCTGAGGCTGCATAAGGCATATTTATCAATTTTCATAAAAAAACAAGCTGGGAACAATGGCTTGTTAATGTACTTGTGAAGAGATGGAGTATCAGAACTCCAAGTGATTTTAGTTAAGAAAGAAAAACAGGCTGGGTGTGGTGGCTGACACCTGTAATCCCAGCAGTTTGGGAGGTCGAGAAGGGTGGATCACCTGACATCAGGAGTTCAAGACCTGCCTGGCCAACGTGGTGAAACCCTGTCTCTACTAAAAATACAAAAAATTGGCCAGGAGTGGTGGCAGGCACCTGTAATCCCAGCTACTCAGGAGGCTGAGGCAGGAGAATCACTTGAACCCCAGAGGCAGAGGTTACAGTGAGCTGAGATCGCGCCATTGTACTCCAGCCTGGGCAAAAACAGCGAAACGCCATCTTGTTGGGGGGCGCGAGGAAGAAAAAACAGATCAAAACTGGCAAGACAAAATCAGGAATAAATACACTGAAGTTAGAAAAAAATGGTTACTGGAACAACAGGAACGGGGAACTTAGTTGAGAGCAATTCCTGGGAAAAGATGGCGGGAGGCTCTATCTACTGCACCATCTGGTGGACCAATCATGTGATTAAGCCTGTAATGGAAACCTAACAGCCTAGCTTTGTTAACAAAAGTGCAGTACCTAAAGGGAAGTAACTAATTTCCTTCAATTCTCTGTCCCCGTCTGGGCATTTTCACAGACTAGTCTACTCTAAACATACTCTTGTACAGAGAACACAGATGTTTTCACAAAAGAGGTAACACAAAACCAAAGTTTTGAAAGGGTAAGAAGAGACAGAAGGAACAGGACGCACAAAGGTGATGATGCACATTTGGGGAATTACAAATAGCCCTGTGTGGCATGAATCAAAGGACTGAATGGGGGACATCAACTGCACTGGGTGGGAGAGGAGTAGAGTGTGACAGATTTTTGATCTCATGTTTTCTAAAAGAATTTTGAAAAACTACCCTTTCACAAATTATTAATATCTAAAATATCAAATAGTTTAAATTGCTTAAAAAGCTATAATTTCCCACATATTTAAAATACTGACATTTAAAAATAAGCTGTCTCATCACTCTTTAAAATGTTTACAATAGAATCTAAATAGTAAGTTGATAACTACCTACATCTTCTATTTAAAAAATACAAGAACTATAAATTCAAGCAGATGAAAAATAACTTTTCGTTAACAGACACTCCAGAATAATGTAAAAAGACTAGCGGGAGTGGGAGAAGATAAAGGATACACATAAAAAAAAAAAAAAAAAAAAAAAAAAAAAAAAAAAAAAAAAAAAAAAAAAAAAAAAAAAAAAAAAAACCTAACTAAATAAGACAACCCAATAGGAAAATGGGCAAAATATTTAAGTGGGTATTTCATAAAAGAAATTCAAAAGGCCAATATACATGTGTAAACACACTACAGCTTGTCACTAATCAGAGAAATGCTTATTTAAATCTCAGTGAGATATCATTACAAAGCCACTAGATGAACAAAAATTTGTAGGTCTGACAATAACAGGTGTTGGTGAGGATGTGGCACAGTTTGGCAATACCAGGCAATGCTGAATATATACATATTCTCCGACCCAACAATTCCACAGCTAGTTTTACAAACACACACACAAACCCTCAGGAACAATTACACTCATTCGCCAGGACAAGATCAAATCAGCTTTGTACCTAACTGCCCCAAACTGGAAATGGAGAATTGTGGAACAGTCATATCATATTACATAGCAATGAGAAAGCATTATAGTTATGCAAAATGAATGAATGTCACAATGTAAAAGAAGACACTAAAGAGTTTACTGTATGAGTCAATTCATGTGAAGTTCAAAACCAGGCAAAACTATGTTTTTGAGAGATGCACATACAGATGCTAAAACTACTATAGGAAAAACAGGCAACCTAATAGTAATTACTAAAATCAGAACAGCGCTTCTATTTGGGGGAAGCAGAGAATTTTGATACACAGTGGAGAGGAGCATTCTGGTGGTGCAGTGTTTTGACTTGAATGTTAAACAGGTGTTTGCTTTAGAATTGTCAAACCATTCATGCATACTATACACAACTATCTTTATATGTACTATATTTCGCGAACACAAAAAAAATGCTCCACATAAAAAAAGCTTTTCTCTAACGGGAAAATTTACATCGTTGCATTTTCTTTACTAATCTCGTATATTCTTCCACAAAATTTTATCCTAACTTATCTTGTGTGAAAGTAACTTACTGAGCATCCTACGGTATTTAGATACTCTTTAACTTTTTGCAACAAGTACTAAACGGCAGTGACGGCAACTTAACTTCTTTACTTCTGCTATCTCAGTCAAGAAGTCTTTTTACTTCTGCTATCTCAGTCAAGAAGTCCTCATGCCAGCCCTTGTGCCGGGGGCTGTGGTTAAAAATTAGCCTTCAAGCTTACTATGTGTCAGGCACTTCCCAAGACGCTTTACGTGCATGATCTCATTTAATCCCCAGGTAGGTGGTATTACCCCCATTTTACAGGTGTAGAATCTGAAGTTAGGAGAAATTAATTCTCAAGGTCAAAGGTCGTGAATGGCAGCAGGTCTTAGTCTCTAAATCAGAAAGTTAGGTGGGCCTTTTTGGTCTCCCTCGCCCTCTTCGCCCCAGTTTCTCTGGCTTGTTTTCTAGGGAAGAAAAAGCTAGCAAGGAAGCGTAAAATGCGGGACACAAGAGGCCCGCCCGAGTGCGAGTCGGGGACCTTGGCTGCCGGTCACACAGCCTCAGAGAAAATTGGGCGCGACCCTCTTATCTTAAATAACGACCCTTTTTACTTGTTAACCTTCAATCTAAACGCCCATTCCATCCTGCACCAGTTCCCCATTCTGTGAAGGCATGCAAAGAGCAGGTCACTCTACACCAACCTGAAGCCGTTCTCACCGCACCAACAAAGGCACAGGCAGCCATCTTGCCAACTTCGTCTACGGCGGCCGCTTTGGGTTTAAAAGCACAAGAGAAAAGGAAACGTAGAGAAAGCAAGGAGGCGGAGTCAAGGAAGAGGAAAAGAACAAAGGAGTGGTCCACTCAACCTTTATTGAATGTCATCGCCAGGTTCTGCCCTTCGCCGCTGTGAAACAACTGCCTATAGACGCTTCTACAAAATTTCTATTTAAAAAATTCTTATTGAAGCCAGACATGGTGGCTCGCTCCTGTAGTCCCAGCTACACTAATCGGAAGACTGAGGTGGGAGGATCGCTTGAACCCTGGAGGTCGAGGCTGCATTCAGATGCAATCACGCCACTGCACTCCCGCTTGGGCAAATATTTTAAGCGAAGGACCCCGTCTTAAAAAAAGAAAAAAGCCCGGGCGCAGTGGCTCACACCTGTAATCCCAGCACTTTGGGAGACCGAGGCGGGAGGATCACGAGGTCAGGAGTTAGAGATCAGCCTGGGCAACATGGTGAAACCCTGTCTCTACTAAAAACACAAAAATTAGCCATGTGTGGTGGCACATGTCTGTAGTCCCAGTTACTCGGTAGACTGAGGCAGGAGAATCGCTTGAACCCGGGATGCAGAGGTTGCAGTGAGCCGAGACCGTGCCATTGCATTCCAGCCTGGGCGACAGAGCAAGACTCCTCAAAAAAAAAAGAAAGAAAAAGAAAAAAAATTTTAATTAAAGAAATTCTACAATGGCATGCATGTTTAAGGAAGAAAAAAGAGAAAAAGAAAAATAAAATTCTAATTATGTAATTGAAAGACAAAGTACACAACATAGTTGAAGATTTCTTTTTGCTCTTTTTATTAAATTCATTTGAGAAAATAATGAATGTTAACCTTCCAAAACTGGAAGATGTTAGTAACAATATTTAAAATCATTTTGTGCTTTGGGAGGCTGAGGTGGGAGGATTGCTTGAGCCCAGTTTAGTCCAGCCTGGGCAACATAGTGAGAACCCTAGCTACAAAAAAATTTTAAAATTCATCAGCTGGATGAATAACCTGAGGTCAGGAGTTCAAGACCAGCCTGGCCAACATGGTGAAACCTCATCTCTACTAAAAATACAAAAAATTAGCTGGGCATGGTGGCAGGTGCCTATAATCCCAGCTACTCCAGAGGCTGAGGCAGGAGAATCACTTGAACCTGGGAGGCGGAGGTTGCAGTGAGTCAAGGTTGCCCCAATGCACTCCAGCCTGGGCGACAAGAATGAAACTCCGTCTCAAAAAAAAAGAAGAGAGATAAAAAAAGAAATAATTCGCCAGTTGTGGTGGTGTGCTTTTGTAGTCCCAGCCACTTGGAAGGCCAGGCAGGATTGCTCGAGCTCAGGAGTTCAAGGTTAGAAGTGAACTGTAATCACACCACTGTACTCCACACTGTACTCCAGTCTGGGCCATACAGTGAGAGCTTGTCTTCAAAAAATTGTTTTGGAAGAAAACTGGATTGTCACCTATATCAAATGAATGTAAATATTCTAAAGATACTACACACACATACACACATTATTTTTAAAAAATCAGTAACAATGTCATTTGGTCATTTTGTCAACAGCATCTCGACTTTCCCTGAACAATTCTACCTTCCTTATTTTATTCTTGAGAATTGGTGAGTATATATATTTTTTCTGATGTTTCAAATGGGGGGGGGGAACCCCACAACAAAACTGTCTCTTCTATCCCACTGCCCGAGATTTTCTCCATAGGGAATATCCAACATCATCCATGCATATACAATATACAACATTACTTACTGGGTGAAATGGGTAAGGGTGAAACACCTGGTCTCAAGAAGTTCACATTTAATAAGGAGACAAGCACAGGACATAAATAAGGCAAGGCAGATAAATTATTCATTGGGGCAGTTAAAAGTTGAGAGAAGTCTCTGGAGTGATCTCAGATGAGCAGGGAGGCTATAAGATGGATCTTAAACAATGGGGAAGACTTTAGCAAAGACAAAGCCAGTCTATGCAGTTAAGAATAGCAAGAGCTAAGGTCAAAGGAGAGGGTGCCAAGACAGACCCAGGATTTATTAATATTTAGAGCAGTAGTTCTTAAACATTTTCATCTCAGAACCCATTTACACTCTTAGAAATCGTTGGGGATCCCAGAGAGGCTTTTCCTTTTATGGATTATATCTATTGGTATTTACTCTCTTGAAAATTAAAATTGTGAAAAATTAAAAAGTTATTGTGTCAGTGTCCTATTGTTGCTGTAACAAATTACCAGAAACTCAGTGGCTTGAATGACAAATTATCTTACAGTTCTGTAGGTCAGAAGTCCAAAACAGATTTCACTAGAATCAAAGTAAAATCAAACCAAAGGGCTGTGTTCCTTCCGGAGGCTCTAGAGAATTCTTTTCCTTGCTTTTTCCAGTTTCTAGAAGCTGCATTTCTTGGCTCATAACTTCCTTATATCCTAAGACTGCAATTGTATCACTTTGATCTCTCTATCCATTGTCACATCTCCTCTGACAGTCCCTCCTACATTCTTTTTTCTTTTCTTTTTTCTTTTTTTTTGAGACAGGGTCTCACTTTGTTGCCCAGGCTGGAGTACAGTTGTGTGATCTTGGCTCACTGCAACCTCCGCCTCCCAGGTTCAAGCAATTCTCCCTGCCTCAGCCTCTCAAGTAGCTGGGATTACAAGCACGCACCACCATGCCCAGCTAATTTTTGTATTTTTAGTAGAGACGGGGTTTCTCCATGTTGGTCAGGCTGGTCTCAAACTCCTGGCCTCAAGTGATCCACCTGCCTTGGCCTCCCAAAGTGCTAGGATTACAGGCAGGAGCCATCATGCCTGGCCCATTCCTCTTTTTTTTTCCTTTTTTCTTTTTTTTTTTTTTCAGACAGTTTCGCTCTTGTTACCCAGGCTGGAGTGCAATGGCGCTCTAGGCTCACCACAACCTCCACCTCCTGGGTTCAAGCAATTCTCCTGCCTCAGCCTCCCGAGTAGCTGGGACTCTGGGACTATAGGCGTGGGCCACCACGCCCAGCTAATTTTTTTTTTTTTTTTAGTAGAGATGGGGTTTCGCCATATTGACCAGGATGGTCTCGAACTCTTGACCTCGTGATCCACCCGCCTCGGCCTCCCAAAGTGCTGGGATTATAGGTGTGAGCCACCATACCTGGCCTCCTCTTTTATTCATAAGGACTCTTGTCATTACACTGGGCCCACACAGATAACACAGACTAGTCCCTTCATCTCAAGAGATCCTTAATCATATCCACAAAGTCCCTTTTGTCATGTAAGGTAGCATATTCACAGGTTTCAGAGATTAGGAGAACGAGGACATCTTTGGGGGTAACATTATTTTGCCTACCACACTTATTTAATAATAGCAATTATAAACCCATTACATTTTTTAAATTTTTACGTTTTGAAGCAGAGTCTTGCTCTGTCACCCAGGCTGGAGTGCAGTGGTGACATCTCAGCTCAGCGCAACACCTGGCTCCCTGGTTCAAGCAATTCTCGTGCCTCAGCCTCCTGAGTAGCTGGGATTACAGGTGTTTGCCACCATGCCTGGCTAATTTCTTGTATTTTTAGTAGAGATGGCATTTTGTCATGCTGGCCAGGCTGGTCTCCAACTCCCGACCTAGTGATCCTCCTGCCTTGGTCTGCCAAAGTGCAGGGATTACAGGTGTGAGCCACCACACCCAGCCTGAACCCATTACATGTTAACATAAATAACACATTTTAATGTAAAATAGCTATCCTAAAATAAAAAAGAATAATGAGGATGGTATTGTTTTACTTTTTTGCAATCTCTTTAAAGTCTAACATTAAAAAACCCCAAAACCTAGATTCTGAAATTTGCTTCTTCAATTTCTTGTGATATCATATGTCAGGTAGCCTCTGGTATAATTCCGTACAATTATGAGATGAGAGAAAGGCAAATAATATCTTACTATGAAAATAGTTTTTATTTTATAGACGTCCCTGAAAGGGTTTCAAGATCCCTAGGGGTTCCTGGAACATGCTTTAAGAACGTCTGAGATGGTGGGGTGCAGTGGCTCACGGCTGTAATCTCAGCACTTTGGGAGGCAGAGATGGGCAGATCACGAGGTCAGGAGATCGAGACCATCCTGGTTAACACAGTGAAACCCCATCTCTACTAAAAATACAAAAAATTAGGCCGGGCGCGGTGGCTCAAGCCTGTAATCCCAGCACTTTGGGAGGCCGAGGCGGGTGGATCACGAGGTCAAGAGATCAAGACCATCCTGGTCAGCACGGTGAAACCCCGTCTCTA